TGTGTTTAAAAAGGGTGTAAAATCGGACCTTAACAATTATCGTCCAATTTCCGTTATCCCGATTGTCTCGAAGGTTTTTGAAAAAATTGTTTACGACCAATTGTACCAATACCTAAATGATAATAAATTATTATCAAGTTGTCAGTCGGGCTTTTGCTCCCTACATAGCACCCAGTAACGGCCTTGCTTGAGGCGACAAATAGTTGGTCTGTTAATATCGATAACGGTTTCCTGAACGGAGTAGTCTTGATTGACCTAAAAGAAGCTTTCGACACAATTGATCACGAAATTATTTTACGTAAATTGTCATACTTTGGTGCCGACCAAGCAACTATTAAGGGGTTTCAGTCATACCTAAGTGATCGGACCCGAAGGTGTAATGTCAATGGCAATCTGTCGACTGCCAGCACCGTAGCTTGTGGCGTACCGCAGGGCAGTATTCTGGGTCCTTTACTTTTTTTAATGTATATTAGCGATCTCCCTAACTGCCTGCGGGAAGCTGCGCCGAGAATGCTTGCTGATGACACCAGTACAACCTTATCCGCAAAAACGGTAGCCGATGTTAAACTAGCAGTGACCTCTGAACTTAACACCCTTACCTGTTGGCTGAGGGCCAACAGATTAAGTTTAAATGTGGCCAAAAATGAATTAATGATAATTGGATCTAGGCAGAGATTGAATGCCCAATGTGAGGAGATTGATATCAATATTGATGACAGGACGATCAGTAGAGTTGATCATACTAAATCTCTGGATCTTACCATTGATGCTCAACTCTCTTGGTCTAAACACGTTGACGAGATATGTAAGAAAGCCTCTTCAGCCAATGGTGCATTAAAACGTGTACGACCTTTTATTTCGAAGTTCAGATTTATGATGCTTAAGTATTACCACATTTTGATTATTGCAGCCCGGTCTGGGATTGTATGAGTGGCTATTTGAGTGACAAATTACAAAAATTACAAAATCGCGCAGCCAGAGTAATAACTAAATCACCTTTTGATACGAGCTCCAAGCTCCATCTAGCGATGCTTAAGTGGGAGAAGCTGTCTCTTCGTCGTAGAAAACAGAAAGCTTTAATAATGTATAAAACATTGAATGAACTTGCCCCAGAATATCTTCAATGTCTTTTCACTCAACGCCATGATAATGAATATAACTTAAGAAATCTTTAAGGAAAACTCTCGCTGCCCAAGCCAAATACTAATTATTTGAAACGAAGTTTTTGTTATAGCGGGGCTTGTTTGTGGAATAACTTACCCCAAGATTTCAAAGGCGTTGGTTCTATTGGGCAGTTTAAACGGGGTATTAAGAAGGTATCTGAGATATCGGATTCCCACTCGGCAATCATGTAAAACAGTTGTAATAGTTTTAGTTTTTACCTTTAGCTTAACTGATGATTCCCCGTGTATAAATAAAGTTTTACATTACATTAAATTACATTACATCACATGGCATGAGTATCTCACCTTCAAAGAGTAGATGGTATGTTTGCCCAATATGACTGTAACCTGCACAGATTCTTTTTTCTTAAAATGGACGGTGTAAAAATAGTAATGTTCTGCTTATGCAGTCTGCATTCCCTTATCCACATCGTACGTGATAATTTTAGTCGTTAAACGTGAGCGTCAAGTATAGGTGGCCTAAGCGTGCTCAAGATCGCGCATTGAATAAAACTGTTGATACTTTATAGAGAAGAATTGCATGTTACAGTCAAAATCTCACTTGTGTGATGACCACTGAAGTCTTGGAGACATCAAGAGAGGCTACTAGCTAGCATGCAAGAATGTAAGAATGTAAGCTAGCAAGAATGTAAGCTAGCATGCAAGCATGTAAGAATGCTAGCAGCATTCTTACAAACAACTGCTTACCCAGATTGTTTTTCTGTTCTTAGGGACCTCCTGGTAGAAGAGGACCACCTGGGCCCTCAGGACGTCCTGGACCGCCAGGGCCACCAGCTTCTCCAGGTTCCATAGCAGCTGTAAGTGTTGCTTTACTTAGCTTAAATCAGACGAAGATATAATAGGTGATATTGAATATTGATGGTAATCCAAGACTGCATTGGCTCTACTTTCCTTTGATTGGTGATTGGTGAGGAAACTTCCCGTCTCTCGAACAATCAGAAAATCGCGACTTGTTTCGTGGAGTTTCCTTCTTTGCTTTTTGCTTGATTCTCATCACCTCTTTGTCGTAATTTTCTCTTAGTTTGGGGTTGTGATACTTTGATTCTGGATTTACAGTACTGAAAAGTACAAATTTCAGTTCAGTCGTTCTTTCTTAAACAAATTTTGGGTGTTGCTGTCAACCATCATATACACGAAAACTAATTTAGAATAGCAAGTTATTTGATATACAAAAGCTCACAAGGTAGGTGGACAGTAAGACATGGTTTGATGCTACTCCGCTTTAAGGATTTAGTGAATGTAACCTGGGAATGACAATTCATAGGCCCAGCACTCTGACACTCCTGGCCAGTACCTATATGAGGGGTGATCTTAAAGGACCTCTCGTTGCAACGATTAGATCACCCCTGATGAAGGCGCTAGACAGGAGTGTTAAAAAGTTGAGTCTATGAATTGTAATTTCATTAAATCCTTAAACCAGAGTAGCATTAAACTATTGTCTAACAATTTGTTTGATATGGAGAAAGCTCAAGACAAAAGAAAAAACCTTTTTATTTGTAATGATATAGTATCTTAATTTTTTTTTTCAGACTCTTAATGGCCTCAAAGGACCATACATGGTGCCCACCATAATCTCTGCAAGATCCATTATTCCCTCTCCTGTAAGTTGAACTTGCTGGGTTTTTTAATAGTTGTTTTTTAAGGCTCTTGCTTACCCTAATAACTTAAGTTCCCTTTCGTTTCAACGTTTAATTTATTTAATTTGTACCTTGCTGTCCAGACTGGAAACTGGATCATAAGTGATCACTTGATTTCGCCTTCGAGAAATTCTAACCAAGTATTCAGGTTGCCAATAGGCCTGTAATTTCATTGTCATGTTCATCATAGTCTTTTTATTCCTGTTGTGTTATTTTTCATTGCGTATATCTTCGTCGTAAACGAGTGAGCTGTTATAACCCAATTTATGGTCACCGTCATTTCCGCAAGAACTACCATGCCGCGATAACACAACGGAAATGTACCCATCTGGAATATGTATTCACTGCGGAATAATTTATTCATGGATACCTATCTCTTAACATAGCTTTTGCTTTTATAATAGCTTGGATTGCAAGGACGCTCAGGACCAACAGGATTAATTGTAAGAGTGATTTTTTACCTTTTTTGAACTTTCAATTGTGATATTGAAAGTAATGGCAATAGTTTCACTGAATCACATTTATGAAATCAAGCATCATCACCTTGTGATTATCCCCAATGCTCTAATCACAAAGTTTAAAAGCTCCCCTGGCCTGACGTAATATCACTCAAGTAGCTAGGGCAAACACTAGAGTTGTTTGAATTTTGTCTTGTTTGTCTGGTTTTAGTTTCTTTGTTTGTTTGCTTTTTTCAATGTTTTGTATATTTGTATTTCATTAGCTGCCGCGCGCACCAACTGCTTTGGTTTTCTTTGTATGCATAGCTCAACCGTCTACTCCCTGATATGAGTTTGCGTATTCTTCATACTCTTCTATATACATTTCGTTAAGTGCAGACAAGGAGAATTTGTTTGCCTATCATGGACTTCTTTAGTTGACGATCATTCCCTCTATTCTCGCGACCGTTACCTTTTATTCAGGGTTACATTGTAAGGAGAAATTAGATGCTAGTCGCTCTTTGAAGTCAATAGGTTAACACAGGTAAACATGATATCGCTTTTTTCCAAATACTCGAACAAGTTAGTACAATTTTTGATGGTATAAGTACTATAGCTTCTTTCAGATATCTAATCATCGGCTTTTTTAGGGTGCTATTGGCGTTCCTGGAATAATTGGACCAGATGGAGAATCAGGAATTCCGGTAAGTTAGATTTTTCATCACCTCAACCCCAAAAGCAAATGTTTCATACAAGTGACACTACTCACAACTACGCTGTGCTTTTTCTTTTCAGGGAGCTGTCGGCCCGCTTGGAGCCAGAGGGGATCCTGGATTCCCTGGGAATGACGTGAGTGATTGCTTACCTTTTTTCTTTATTCACTTGGTTGGCCCCCGAATTTGAACATTTTCCCAAACATTTGTCACAGTTTCCTTTTGTGTTTTTTTATGTGGGTGATGTGCGTTCCTAATGGCTAGCGCGTTACACTTCATGTTGGTCCTGGTTCAAACTTGCCAGTTTGTGAGTTGTATTCATTTTCAAGATCCAAATAAATTTAATTTGTAATCCTGCTTTTCAGGGAAACCCTGGACCTAAAGGACAAACTGGGCCCCCAGGATATCGAGGAAGTACGGTGAGTCTCAATCAAGCCAAAATATGCTCCAACAGTTTTGGAATAAGTGAAAGTAAACTCCATTTCAAATAAACAAGAAAATTCACAAAAGCAATATTGAATTTCTTTCCGTTTATCGTATAGGGGCCTCTAGGTGATGTCGGTGGAACAGGTGCCCAAGGATCAAGAGGTCCAAAAGGTCGAAGTGGGCGGACTGGACGCAACGGGGATAGAGGAGAAGATGGTGATGTGGTCAGTAAAGCTAAGCTTGTCCAATGATAGTTACGTGTACTTTTCCTTTGTTGCCTAATAGCCCGGCTTCTCCACGGCCGTCAAATAGCTTCGTCGCGCAAGGGAAGAGCCCACTTTATGTGACACGACCAAACAAAAGCTACGTGTCATACAGTGAATAAGAGAGACGATTATTTTTTAAGCTCGGCCGTGGAACGCAAAGGTCTGTGTTTCTTTGTCCCATGCTCATGTCAAGACGAAAAACATCTCTTCTTGTTGACAAAAAGTACCGTACTTATTACATAAAGCACACAACGTCGAATAAGCGCCTACCTCCCTCACTCCCCCCTCACCCTCCTTGTGGCCCTTCTCATTACTGACCCAGCAGAAGTTGGAATTTCTTCCCTGACATAACCAGTATTGAAAATGTTTAACTTAAGATAAGTGTAGGCACAGTAAGAAAAAAAACAAAAGATTCACTAGATTCACTTACTTCACAAGAAGTAAAAAAAAAATCAACTGACAATGATGTTTTTGCTTTTCATTGCAGGGGCAAACGGGAACAGTGGGTCAACCGGGGACGGATGGCAATATGGTACGATTGTTTTCTACAAAGTTTTCAAAATTTATTTCAATTTCTTGTTTCTCTGCTTGCATAGTTTCTTGGCTTAATTTCCGCCATTTTCTCGGGTCTAGCCCTCCATCTGCCTGACCTGGGGAAGACTGCGAGCTCAATTCGTAAACAGCGGTTGAAAATCGAGCCCTTGTTAGCCCTTCCTTGTTAGAATTCCCTTGTTTCTATTAGATAACGCCTTGACTTCTATGCTTTTATGGAATAGCTTAGTGTTTAGTGGACTGGTGTTTGGGAATCATCTCGGATCGATAACTCATAATGGGTTTGGCGAAGCAGCACACCCGTTGTTGGCCTGCAAGCAGTCCTTCATCATTAGCGCTTCGGAAAGAGTGCTTCTTTCGCCGCGAGAAGTTTGGGGTTTGAGGCCTCCAGTAACGCGAGCTAACGGGTGATGTGCAAGGGTTGATGCGCTGAAAACGAGTGCCGGACGTTTAAAAATTTCCCTCGGGCGGGGAAACAGGCAGTGCTGATAATGATGGCCTGCTTATAGCCTAACCAGTTGTGTACTTACGCTTATTTCGTTTATTACCGAATGAAAGAAATGTTGAACCTCTAAACTAAATATATTTTGCAATGCTGCAAGGTTAAACGAGGGCCTTCAAATTTCCGTTTTTTTAATTTAATTTTCAGGGTCAGCAAGGCAAGAGGGGAATTTCTGGAACAAGTGGCAATCGAGGACAACAAGTGAGATCAAAGAAACAATTGCACGAAACTCTAATTCATTTTCGAGCGCTTATATCCTTGCACGTTCTCTTAAAGAGAAGTGAATTTTTAAATATGATTTAATCTTCCTTCAAATACGTTTTTAGCCACTTAGAAACAGCATTCTTCCTCGCACCGTTTGTTTGGGTTCGTTTTTACATTCTCAGCATTTATCATTTAATTCATTATGTTTACCACGTAATTTAGGGTATGCCTGGTGAGCAAGGTACGCTGGGAAATGTGGGTGCGCAGGTGAGTGTGAAAAGGGTAAAAATCATTAGAAATTTGTATCTCTATTGTCACTACTGTTGCTGTTTTTGGACCCTTTCCGCATGTGACAGAGCTCTAACCCCAGCCCTCTCCCCCCAATCGGGGAGGGGGGGATCCAATGATTTTTTTCTTTAACTGTTTCATCAGTATTGAGCTTGGAGAAATATTTGTCGTAAGAATTTTTGAAAACTATCTCAGACGCGTTTTCGCGAAACGATTGTAAACATACTTGACGCTTTTAAAATTGCGTAGAAATTATCTTCGGCCCTACGAACTATCCAGAGGACAGTATGAGATGTACTAAGGGGATTTTCGCTTCGCCTCCCGTGCGATTAGCACCCTCTTCCCCTCCCCTTTCTTTTCATCTTAGTTTCAAAACGCTCCACCCCTTTTTTCAACCATCATCAAGAATACTAATCAACGTCCACTTTGATTGGCAGGGTGTTGCTGGTCAGATGGGTTCCCCAGGAGCACCAGGTAGTGTGGGACTTAAAGGCTCTAGTGGCAATCCGGGCACTCCCGGTGACGTTGGCTACACTGGTGAGACCGGGGATACGGGTCCTCAGGGACCCCAAGGAAATAATGGAGAACTGGGAGAACAAGGACCAAAGGGTGGAAAAGGAGCCAAGGGTGCAATGGTAAGAGATAAAATAAATTATACTAATTTTAGAGTATTTTGCTTTCAGCGTAATTATTTAAGGAGAAGTATCCTTCAGAAACAAAAAGAATCTGCCCCCACCATTAAACTGTGAATATGAAATTATGACACTGATCGCGTTTTGAGGTTCCAAAGTTTCCCTATCCTTTCGAAAGTTATATTCCAGTGCACTACAAAATCCGATCCTAGAGGCCTCTATTTTGAGTCATGCTTGGCAGCCTTTCCTTATTCCACCCTTCCTAATTGCTTTGCGATTTTTTCCAATAATTAAGAGCTGGAATACCATAGCTAGCTTGGTAAACCGTTTAATCTGTGTTCGTCAGTACGTCCAGATAGCCCAATGGATAGTGCGCTGGACTGTTGGGGGGAAGGCCGAGGGTTCGAGCCCCGGCCGGACTAACACTCAAGGTCTTAAAATAATTGAGAAGAATATGCTACGTTTCTATAACATCAAGAAATGGTTAGATATTCTAGTCTTCTCGGATAGGGACGAATAAATGGAGGTCCCGTCTCCTGCAGGGTTGGGGTAGGAGACGTTAATTTCCCACACACAAGATTACTGTGATGGATGTCCTCCCCTGGGGTGGGATGGTTGGGAAGGTGAGGGCCATATGTTAGAAAACTTGAGTAAAGTTAATATGTTACCCTCTTTAAATAAAGATGTATGATGATCATGATGATGTATTTGTTAGCGGCGGGGATGATCAGAATTACATGGTCTCTATAACACAACTATCCTCTCGTTTGACAACTTAGGGTGACTTTGGACCACAAGGTGAACAGGGAGAGCAAGGGCCTTCTGGAGAGCAGGTGAAGTGATGAAACTAAAGGCTGTTTTTTTGACAATAGGTCCGTGCAGTTTAAACCGTTTTCAAATCTCGAACATTTTCCAAACTCTTCGAGAATAAGTCTGTAACAGCCCAAATCCACTTCGATGAAATTTACGTAAAAAGGATTAAACGAAGATTTCTGTTTGGTGGTTGACTGTAGCTTGCTAAGTTAAATAGATCTGGTTAAAACCTTCACAACAAACTGAGCCATCAAGTCAGCTATGAGTTGGTCATAGTTTGAGTTTGTTATGTAGCCCGTGAAAGGAGTTTACATTGTAAGAAATTCATGGAGATCATATATTTGAACTGTGGAATGAATACTTCCAAAAGTCATCGTGGCTAAGGTAGTTGTAAAAATGACAGAAACCTCCCTATGGCATGAGAGCAATTACAACTTCGAGGTTCAGCAATTTTTACTGCGATCTGTACGTTTTGTCTTCTGATAATTGATTGACTTTACAGGGTGCCCCAGGGGATACCGGGCCAACAGGACCACAAGGAGGCCTTGTAAGTCGAAGTGAATATTTCTCATATTGGATTCATAACAACAGCACGTGTTTTATTGCCATACGTCAATCATTGTATCCAGCAGGACTGTCGTATCATGCTTACAACTGGTGTTAAATGCAAAAATAGGTCTACCTACAATCAAAGCTACTCATGTAACTAATACAAACTAAGCTTATTCACAAGACTATCGCGTTATTTACAAGTACGAAAAAATTTTTGTTTCTTTTTTTTCATCTTCCCTGGAAGCATCAATCCTTACTTGTACTGTTAAGCTGAACACCGCAAGAAAAAAACGTTACACTTCTTACTTTCAACGCACTAATACTAAAAATTACCGTTTGAAATAACTTTTCATCTTTAAAAAGGGTTCAGAGGGACTCACCGGTAAAGCAGGATCCCAGGGAGATAAAGGAAAACAGGTTTGTCTGGCCTTAAATTATCTTGTTAAGATTTATTTATCAGGATTCCATGGTTCCAAGCCTGGTAAGATTAACACAGTCGCACGTCAGTGTGACGGTACAACCTTAAGTTCAATTAACTTCTCTATAACGGAAGGAGGAAGCGTGCAGAAAACAGTTGGCGTCGTCTCGCCCGAAATGGGATTAAATCATCCAAAATCAGAAGCTCGAAATATGATGGAACGCTGAAAAATCTGACTGAGATGTCCGGTTCAATTAAGACAGACTTTCTTCCGAAGTTTCAACGATTTTCAGTCCGTTTTTCTTTCTTTGTTACTGTCAATTTTATTTTTTTTTCCATTTATTTGTTTTTGTTCTATCTCCTTTTTGTTTTGTTTTTTTTTTTTTCAAGAAATTAAACATATCTCTTCCGGGTGTAAGGATCGTATTTTTGGCCTTCTGCATGTGTTCTAAGGTTTCAGTGATCGTAGAAATCGAACAACTTAAACATGTCTGCGTAATTTCAAATGATTATTCAAATAATTACATAACAACGTTGTAGTCCACTGTGTAGTGCATTCCGCTTTTGGTTACTTCCGTCCACTTTCAGAAGACTTCGTCCAATTTTCCACATTTCCGTTCCAATGTGGACACTTCCGTCCACTTTCGGATGGTTTCGCCCTATTTTCCACCCTTTCGTCCGTTTTCGAAAGGCCAAGGTTTTTTTTTTTTTTAATTTAGGGTAAAACAGGTGTTCAAGGAGGCACAGGGTCACCAGGTCCAGCCGGAGGAAATGTGAGTTGGTTTCCTGACTTTTTTACATGTATTGCCAGTAAGGAACCTTTTTTCCTCTTTCTTACCGTAAGGGACGCAGATCTAACGAGTCTATGGGGACAATGGACGAATAGTGGAAACTAGAACAGTCCTATGTCATCGTTTGAGTCTAAAATATTTATGTCTTATTTTTGTTTGTGTTTTTGTCTGTTAATATGACTCACTGACTGACTGACTCACTGCCTTAATGACAGATCGATTATTTAATTATTGTGTTGTCTTATTTCAGGGTAGCCCGGGTGGGCAAGGCTCTCCTGGTATTCCAGGTAACACAGGATTAATGGTGAGATTACTTGATGTGAAAGAAGATTTCATTCCTGAAATGGCGCAAGCATACTCAGTGAAAAAGCTGATAACTCCATATGCTCCCAATAGGAGTTGAACATACGACCACTCAATAAGTTTTTTGGTTGCCCTCCCACTGAGCTGTAAGAGACTCATAGCAGGATAAGCCATTTTACAAGGTCAATAATGACAAACCTCCTGCATACAGTTAGCCTTTGATAAGAATGTCGACAGGTGATGCTCCTGCGAAATGATCATGATGATTAACTTGTTTGCTTGTTTCTTAAACATTAAAAATATCACTTTTTTTACAAAATTTTTAATCATCTTGAGCCAACAATTTTGTTTCTGCAAACCACCAAGAACTGGCAATCTACACACTAAAACTCTTGCATCATTATCATACTACATAGTATTTACGGTCTAATGCATTTTTTCACTTAGGGAGAAGCAGGTGCTGAGGGTGAAAGAGGGCCGATCGGTGAGACAGGACTGCAGGTAGTATAAATTTACAGATTACATTCCAAACCAGACTTTCAAGATGAGGCTCTGGCTTGCTTGAAGGTAGTAATTTGATGTATAACAACTATCATGACGGAATATAAAATTAATACGTCTATTTTGCCATTATCTTTCCAGGGAATTGTTGGAAATCGAGGCTCAAGAGGGTCTCGGGGTCAAGCGGGTATGCAGGTATATTCAGTGATTACTCCAGTAAGATTTTGATTGGCTATCAAATTTTGGAAACTTTCAAAACATCCCCATAGCGCAAAATACCCTTTTATCCATGAGATATCCTCGTCTTGTTGAATGATATCATGAAAAAAAATAGATTAATAAATAACTGAAACGATGGTAGGGTACACACACGTATAGATACAAGGTGACATCATTTTTGTCTTTTATTTAAAAAAATGAAAAATAAACTACAATGACTAAATTTGCTTCTCAGGGGGTATCAGGATTACCAGGCCCTCAAGGACCACAGGGAGAGCGGGTAAAAACTTCATGTTCTACTTAATTATTGATTCAACAACCAAAGGTTTTCTTTTAAAACAGAGGTGGCGGATATGGCTATATCTTAGTAACTTCTAAGAATATTATGAAGCGTTTTCGGCCTAATTCAGAGGGCATTTCCTTGGTTAAATGCAAAACTATTTAAAATTTCATAATTCCGTATATTTACTTACCAGCTGAGTTGTACATAAGTTCACTCAGTTGTACATAAGTTCACTCAGTCTGTCTCTATTTTAAAAGTTTCATGTGTAATTACGTTATAATCAGCTTGTGAAGACTAAGGAGAGCAACAGAAGGTGGGTCCCCATGCTGATCTTCAAACCCATTCAATCTTGCTTTTTCCTTTTTTCTTAGGTGTTACAGTAAGAATCATAGCTTGCTTTTATTGTTGTTCAGTGAAAGAGTCATTGGTCTCATTTTATACACTATACAGGGAGGGAGAGGTCGAGGAGGACCCCAGGGAAAGGCGGGAAATCCTGGGACTCCTGTAAGTATACAACCCTGATGTTGGGTTGCCTGATTTGTTAACATTATCTTAATACTTTTGTCTTTGAAATTGCTCTAAAGAATATAGAAGGTTACCTATTTTTTATATATATATATATATATATATTTTTCATTCCTATTTTATGTTGTAGACAATCTTGCTTTTCCTCTGATTTAGGAAGAACTTTTGAATTATTGATTTACAAGTTCACTATCAAAATTGTTACATTAACAACTGAAAGTAATGTTTTAATATTCAACAGGGAATGCTAGGCGAAAATGGCACACCAGGAACATCAGGCCAGATGGTATTGATATGAAAAATCGCAAGTCAATTTTTTTCATGGCTCGTGATATTTTCGTGTTAAATTTCATTCTTATCGTATTCAGGGCCCTCCAGGAGTTGCTGGACCAACTGGAATGCTGGGACAAAAAGGAGAGCAGGCAAGTGAATTGACTTTGTAGCTGTACTAGTTGAATATCCGCCTTTCCATTTAGTCTTGAAGTCCTCGTTCCTTCAGCCCATGCCCTTTCAGAAGGGGCATGGGCTCATCTTCCGAGCCGCAGTTAGCCTTTGGACCCTGTATGTCAAGGAACATCTCTAAAAATAATGATGGAATATGGTAAATAACTTGTGGACAGATAAATGTTACAATTTCTTTTGATTCTCTTTTTTGTCTTTCCTTTTTTTGCTCTAGGGTGAAGAAGGTCCCCAAGGAACTCGTGGTGAGGCAGGACCAACTGGGGGACAGGTAACAATCAACCATTATCTTGGGAGCCTATCTTGAATAAGATGTCATATGATATGTTGGCTTCAACTATCTTATATACATAAAGTACTGAAGGATCAATTGTTTTGGGAAAAACGAAAAAATAATTTGCACCCAATAAATATCCCCCCCACCTTCCCCCAAAATCTCTTGAAATACTTCAAAAAAATGCCACAAAAATTGCAGAGTGTAATTTGTACATGTATATCTTGCAAATGGATATGCCCACTTACCATAATTTGTGGTCCATGGTATGCGAGCTCAGCTACCAGGGCCTGTTAAACATAGGAATTGCAACATGCCATGGCAATTTGTTACAAGAAATGATATTTACTGATGTATTACGCCAGGGAAAAATTTGAAAAACCATATACGGATAGATTAGGTTTGAACATATGATGACTTTGATTTTGTCCTTCAGGGTGAGCTAGGACCAACTGGGGCCCAGGGCTCACGAGGAGCGATGGGAGAGCAGGTTTGTTGGTTACATGTTAGATTTTAAATAATTTATTCGACAAAGTAATTTTTGTTTACCTTTAGAAATCCATTGTAGCCTCCTCACAAAAAGTGGGTTTTGTCATGCTGTTCCTACTCAGAATCCCACTGCAAGGCCTCAGAACTTTGTAGTTATGAGTATTATGCTCGACACAAAGGAAGACAGCAGGATACGTTTTTATTTTACGTTTCGTATTCTTTTGTTTGGTTCTAGTCTGTCAGCAACTCTTATTTCATCTGTGCTCCATATGATGATTGAAGGGAAAGCGAAAGATATACAAACAGCCTATGCTTTTTAACGGTGCAAAGAGCAAATTTTCACGACCTCCTGGTGCTAGAGAATGAAAGCAAAATAGAATAATTCATATCGAAAAAACTGAAATGAACTTTCTTTTTTTCTGGTGTCCTTCAGGGAACTGAAGGCCCTGCTGGAGAATCTGGATCAACTGGAGAAGATGGCGATCAGGTTAGCTCCAATGGAAATTAACGATACCGTTGACAACATAAGGAAAGTTTACGTTATTCAAAATGAATGCAAATTTTAAAAAAGTTTGGCTTATATAAATCAAATCAACACGAGATTTTTCAAACTTCGTCCTTACGCGTGCTCATGTATTCTCTGTGTTCACTATATGCTGATGTCTGAAATTGTCATCCGGATTTTTCCTGCTTGTAAATCC